TAATTTTATTTTATACACCGATCGGCGCACGGTTCCCGTAATTTCTCGGTGTAACGCGGCAAAGTAGAAGCGCTACTCTCTGTGGAAGTTCGTAAATTAACAGGAATAGCAGAACTGCGTATTACGCGCGTTACTTACGATCTAAAAAACGAAATAGAAAATACGAAACGCGGTGAACGTAAAATTGACATTCGCCAGTAAATCGTGCGTAAGTTATATACGCCCACCTAACCTAACCTTACTAACGTCGTTGTGGACGCCCGTACCCGAAGATGCAGCATAGAAGCCCGTTACGAATGACATAACGGCAACTTCGATCTTGCACCAGCACGGAGAAAACGAGGCAAAACACGGATAATACCGCGAACTACGGGAATACCAGGAAGGGGAGCTGATATTTCGTTTCTTTGTCGGATCGTTGCGGTCGATTCCTAGATCGACAAAGTGGACAAATCGAAAGGAGGAACGACACGAACAGCGCTGAGGGCGAGAAGGCTATCGTGGAAGAAACGTGGCGAAGAAAACGCGCGTGAATTGAACTTACTTCGGTGCTTCGACTACCTAGGGAAAAATGTTTATTACTTTGATTTGTTCCTATCTGTGTACCGTTACTGTGTTTCTCTGTGTTAACATTATTCCTATCGTACACGCTTGTCTGTAGATTCGTACAAGTAAGCAGTTGATATTATCTGTCAGTGTATTTATCTTGCAATTGTAGATTTCAGAATTTCGATTTTTGTAAACCTGAGTTGCTTATCTAGTAAAGTATGTATAGAAGACTTCTCTATCTCACAAATTATTACTTGAATTACCGAAACAATATATAATACTTTCTTATGATCGTAAATGTCCCATTAAATTACCAAAAGGTAAAAAGAACACGCATCACACAAAAAAAGGGCAAGGCGAACGAAGAAAAAACTCAGAAAGAACGTATTGTCTCTGAGAATAAATCAAAACGAAAAGTAATAACTTGTCACATTCCGGAGGCAGCGGCTCTCACAAGCGCGGTCCGAAGAACGCGACCAATTATAGCCAGAAGAAAACCGAACGGTTTCCGGCGTGTTCCATTGGAAATTGCGTGGCATTCGCTAATTGCCCAGCAGAGATGCGCGCGCACGCATCGATGCCTTTCTACCACTAGGGAACGCCGGCAGAAATCAGAAGACAGTCCCTCTCTGGCAACATTTTAGGTCCTCTTAAACTGTATCGTAATTACTTGAATCGCCGGCGTAACTCGTAGCGGCTGTAATAACAACGCGAGATAATTTTATATGCATAACACATATCGGTTAGCGGACGATACGAGGCCACACACCGCATTCACCGGCGCGGTTAACTATAATTTAAAAGCGTCTCGTTATATTTCTTCTCACGTTTCTCGTTACCCATCGCACACCGTCCAATACCATAGCAGAGGGTAGCAGTAGGATCTTCGTGCGCATGCGCACACACATGCACGCGATTGCCAGCCGGAGAGTGCGCACGCTCGTGACCGCGCACGTGAGGGTGTAATATAATTCAGTGCTTTCTCGGCGAGGCGTCCTTTCGTCCGGCCGATATAACGCGCGAATTACTTGCACGTAATATACTGCGAAACAAAGCCCGTTAACGTCACGAAACGGTAAGCTGCAAGGTATTTTGTTTAGTGTCCCGTAACTTATACTGTCCACGCACGACTTTGTAAGAGGCAGGGTAATTGAGTACTCGTACGGAACGACTGCTAATACGGCCGGCCGTTTTTACACGCGTCGAACCTGAACGTAAATCTGTTCGTCCGGAGCGATATCTGAAAATGCTCCGGCTGATTTATGCCCCGGATCAGCTGCGCGAATATATCACGCATGCGCAGTGAACAACGTACCGGCCTCTGTTGGATATAACGTGAAAACACTATTTTTTCGTGGTACTTCATGATGTTCAGCAGTATGTACCGACTACTCGTGAAGGATTGGGTGAAAAATGTTTTACTGATGTAATTGTGTGAATTATTTAACCTTGTTCGAGCTGTGCACTGGTTTACTTCGATTTACAATTGCAGTTAGTCAGGAAGGTATTGGAATTGAGTTCGAGCATATTGCATCGTTAAAGATTTTAATTAGATGAATTAAAATGTCGTTTTAATCTGTCGTTAATAGGTTAGCTTCGTATCTACAATATTGTGTGAAGAAAGCAAAATAAAAATTTTAATAAAGGATTACTAATTGATTGAAGATATGTAGAAACACTTCACTTAATTTCTTTTAGTTGCATTATTTTTTTTAATATTCGCAAAAAGTGCTTTGATTTTTCATTCTTCTGATCATTTCTATTTATCTACTACTTAACATTATATGAATTATATGACTTGGATCAAGTATTATTTATTCTTACATTTTCTCCATACTTAAAATTGCACGCTCATAATTTATACCGCATCACTGGGCATGATCGCCGCATTTCATTAGCATAATCTTCATAAATCTTGAGTGAAGCTTTTATCACGCGTGTAAGTATGTTTATTTTCCTCGTTTTACATTTTTCTGGTCCGTATCACGATATGCAGAAAAATGGAAAAAATAATACCAAAAAAAAATTTGAATTTCCAAAAACTTTCTTTCGTTTAGGATGAAAGAAAAGTTTTTTAAATGAAATATTTATTTAAAAAAAAAATTCCCCTTGAATTCCGTAATCGCTAGTACAATTTTCTTTCGATTAACGAAAAGATACTTGAGAAAGCTGCCAATGTAAAAATGCTATGATTTAATGCGTTGTTCCATTTTATTATTTTCGTTCTCCATTTTTTATCTTTCTCTCCCATTCGTCGAGGCATTCCATTCGCAATTCACAGCCACTTTGACTTGATAATTTAATGTAAAACACGCGTTGCAAGGTCAGATTATTTCTTCACTTTGCAGAAACCAATTTAGTCTACTATTTTATTACTGACGTTATTCAGCTACCCGCTGCATCATCCATTATTCATAACGCAGCCTGACGCTCGATACATTCATCAAACTTTTCACGAGCAGAAAAATCCTGACACTCTGGCTGAACACATTTTTCATGTAAATGATAAAACAACTATAACGTTCGTGCGGGCTTAAACGTCCGTGCGTAAGATTCAATGCGAATAAGTATGGTATTAACACGTGATGAAAATGTTGAAGCGCGGCTTGTAAGTTTGAAGACCTAGAGGGATTAATTTACAAACGCGCACGAGAAAAGGGGAAAAAAAGAACGGTCCAACAAGAATGAAACATAAATGTCAGATCCTTTATTAATAAATTACATTGGCACATTATGAACAATCATCAATGCTCGTTCCCGTGTCTGAATATCATTATACCGGAGGCAATTGAGAAGTGAAATTTGCATTCAATCGTAGAAAGTATTATTCCTACACGCCTAATGCTTCTACACAACTATCCCCCTTGAAATATTATCATAGGAAACGTAGTCTTACGACATCATCTCTTGTGATTTTCTCTTTATAATTTGAATTTTTTTTTCTAAACAAAGTTTTCTTGATTGTAACTCAACAGGTTAAATTGATGGCTTGGTGAAAAGTAACAAATAGAAGGATTATTATTTAATAATATAAAAGTGATCAATCAGAATGATATTGGATAGTTTATGCGAATAATTTTATTACTTGTATTGACACTGTGCTGTTATAAAATCATGATTTTGCAATTTCAATTGTTTAAAACTATACAAATTAAATTTAAATTAAATTATTAATGTTGACAAGTCTTTTGTGCAAATTAAAGCTTGCATTTATTATTTCACATAATCTATATAAATCCAAGATATATTTGACAGTACAAAGTAATAATTTCACCAGAATATTGAATTCTATAAGCAGATCACAAAATAATTGAGTATAATAATTAGTGACTATCAGTGTAGCAGAAATAATAATCAGTGATTTTGAATTTGAAGGCATTTCAATGTTAATATATCATTTGTGATTAAATTATTTAAATTATTTTTAATAATGTTAAAACTGTTATATCTATATTCTGAAAGATGTTAGCAGAAATTTCCAATGATTCAGAAATCAAATTCATAAGTTATCATTCTAAAATTATGCTGCAATGAACGTTCGATGTCTTCTAATTTCAGGATGGTTTTCTGTGATATCTGGCAACAATACAACTGGCAGCGCGAGGGTCTACAGAAGAATGGATTCCTTGGTGCGAGCAGGAGTACCAGCGTTTCTTTTAGCTGCGCCTTTAAGGGCATACATTTTAACGCACTCGAAAATGGGTAAGTTCCTGAAAATGAACGTGATTCAGTTTTTGCAATAAGAAAAAGTAAACAGTAAAACGTGTAATAAACGATTATAAAAAAAAAATAAAAATGAACGAAGTTCAACAGAAAGATCTAAACGTGTTGTAACAATGAAGCGGAAAAAGTATCGATAAAGATATAACATTAAGAGATTGAAACTGAAAGTGGTAGAAGAGAAGAGCAGAATATTGGAAATAGGAGAGTAAAAACCGTGAAGAAACAGAAAGAAGTAAACAGTAGCGAAGTATTGCAGTAAAAACCGTGTAACAGGAGCAAAAAGTAGAAGGTAGAAAGATAGAAAAAAACGGTGCAGAGGAGGCAAAAAAAGAAGCAAGAGGCAGGAAAAAAGAGCACAAGAGAGAGAAATAATGACACGCGAGAATGTAATGTCGCTTGTAATGTCAAGCAGCAACGTTCTTGACCTAAATGCATGTAAATATCAGCGTTCATACCCTCACTTGGTAAAAAGAGAAACATGAAGAGTGCAGAAATTATACGTTCTGAACGGTAGCAGAAAGTTAAATACGGTAAATGCAGTACATAGCGGCGGAAACGCACAGAGCTATGATATAAGAGACATATTACGAAAGCATTAAAGCTTCGATTACTGTTTTACAACTAGAATTGTCGGTTTCGATTCCGGCAAGAATACGACGATAGATATTTCCAATAAAAAGAGAAAGGAATTATATTCCAGGAATTAAGGGATTGACGGTTGCATTGAAAACTTGTCGACTAAATGTGTCTGCCCCAGATAATGCTATTCTACTTGCAGTTGTAAAGAAAATGACTGTATTTGTGCATTAGAAATAATATTAATATAATAAATTCGTTGCTTCGTGTGTATAAAGATTTAAATGTATAATTTATCTGTCGCCTTTTTTGAAGAACGAATGCTAAACCTAACCTAACCTAACCTTTAAATAGAAAGGTTTTCTAATAAAGTTTTTCGATTAAATAGAATCGAATCTTTTGTTTTTTTTTTTCAAATTAATTTACAAATCGTTGTCAATTTTACTTTGTTAATATATTTATTAACTAATTTATTTCTGCAACGTAATAAATTTAGAATTAATCTCTCGTGAAGGGTAGAATAAAGAACTTCAGATCGTTTTTTTCGACCTTGGTTGCCGATACTAATCTTCCAATCAAAAACTGTTGCTGCAATAAAGTTCGACGACATTCGTGACTTTAGTTTCTAAATGCAAGAGAATATTTGTTTGTGTCGGTTCTAAACCAGACCAAAACGCGAGAAAAGCTTCATAACCACAAATCATAAACCGCAAACGGCAAGAATTGTACCTGTGGTCGCAAATGATTTAACCACAACTGGAACTGTTTTGTTGTTAATCAAAAATATGTATAAGTGCATTGAACTTAGCTCGATTTCTTTTTATACTTAACTTATCCTCTATCATTACACACGTTGATAATATTTTGCTAGAAAATACACATTTTGAGTATCTTTATTCAATATAAGAGTGGCCTATAAGTCACTATACCATTTAAAAATTAAACAACTGTTTTTTATTATATATTTTAAAATTTATGCTTCAGATTTTGAAAAATTTAATATGAAAACATCATTTTCCGTACATAGTCTAAAAAAATTCCGTTTTCTTTACTTTCTCATATAATATTATTAATGCAAATAATAAAATGTAATAAACAGATAAAATAAGAATCTATTAACAATGAAATAAAATGTTCCAAATGAGCAATGCTGATTTACAGTTTAATTGTTATGAGTGTAGAAAGTAAAATTATTGCTGTTACGGTATATCTTTGCTTTCATTACATATGTAAAATAATTTTTAATACGTAAAAGCATTTATAACAATAGATAAGAAGCTTAAGAGAAATCACATTAAAAAGTGTTATACATTGTATATTTGTAACTATGTTATTCTTCGCGCTTCAGCAACTAAGTAGAAGGTACTCCGGAAATCTGAAGATAATCAGAGACTGTATAATTAAGAGAAAAAATATACTAACTTTATATGGTCAAAACGCATTAAATAGAAAACAACAAGATAATTATCAACGTTATTCGTAGCTCTATATATTTACAGCAATGCATTTAAGCAACAGCTTTCACTACAGAATTGAATAATCATAACTGAGTTATGATATTTCCATCATTTTATCTTTTTACTTATAAAAAATACAGTGTTAACAATTATCGCTTGTTATCCCTAAATAGTACCTAACTTACAAAGTCATAATAAAATAAAATAAAATTTATTATAAAATTTCA